ATTATGGAAGAGAAATATTTCTTCTCTCCACTGCAGAAGGCGTAGGGTTTTCACTCTCATTCTGTAGTACAACATGTATTAACAGCTTACCACATGCCAAACACAGAGCTAGATGTATTTTAGACCCTATAGAAGCCATGGCACTGCTCTATGTTCAGAGGCCTTTTGTGGAACATTCATCAGTAAGTCAGATGAAGAATAAATGCAATGATACCAAACAGTGTATACAAGAGGAACACCAAACAACATCGACCAGTGGCAGACTTTTTTTTAACACCTTGAAAAGTAGAAAGCATATTTTATAACGCTCATGTCCTCAGAAAATAGGAATAGTGCTCCAGTTTATTGGTTTCCTAGGGTGATAGAATAATGGGCTACACAGACAGAAACTGCATATCTCCTATACTGTATTGTAATCCCTTCTAAATTTTAAAAACATTTTTATTTAAGTCCAATTTACCAACATATAGTATAACACCCTGTGCTCATCTCATCATGTGCCCTCCGTAACGCCCATCACCCACCCCTTCCAGATATAATGCTAGACTTGAATGAAGGCAAAAAGATTACATAAAATGAACCTTATAGCTAGAATTATACTCTGCTTGATACATTCTCAAGGTCACGAGATTCCACAAAGAAAGTCACATTACAACATTAGTATAGTAATTGAGGTTTTGGGCTTAACTTCTTGGTGACAGTTTCCTTATCTAGAAAATGGGCTAATCTACCTCATAGAATTTTTGTGAGGATTAAATGATAGAGGACTTCTATAATGTTAATATGTTAATACATAGTAAATGTTCAATATACATTCATTAATTCATTCATTTAATGCACACTTATGGAGTACCTATTATGTGTCAGATACAGATGCTGGAGATACACAGCAGTAGATAAAACACAAATACCCTTGCCCTCATGGCATTCCCATTTCAATGAGGAGAGGTAAATAATAAATAAGTAAAAATATGATATACAATTATAGTAAGTGAAATAAAGGAAAGCAGATTGTGGGAGGGGATGAGGGAAGAGGGGTTATGATTTTAAATAGGGTGGCTAAGGAAGTCCAAGCCTGTGGGAGGTAAGGGAGCCAGCTCGGAGGCTGTCTAGGGGAAGAGAATTCCAGAGGGAGGAAACTGCAAACCTAAAAGCCAAGAGATCTATGTGACTGGAGGAGGAGAATACCAGTCCATAATCCCATTTCCAAAATTCTGGAATCAAAAACCTCTGGAGATTCTTGTCATACTTATTCCTTGACCTCTTTCAACTCCAGGTCTCTGAACATGATCATCCCCCTCCCTGGGACTACAATCCCATCTCCTTTTCTCTGCCAAGAGCCCCTGGAGGCCTCTGCCATGACTTCCTGATCTGAGATCAAGAGTGGGACACTTAACCAGCTGAGCCACCCAGCCGTTCCAGAGGGACAAATATTATTACTTTTCTATTACTCTCACTATTATCACTTATCCTGGTCTAAAAAAGAAAACAAAAACAAAAAAGCTAAACTAAAGAACTGTTTAGAGGGATGAGGGCAGTGTTCTAGGACTCCAGCAACATCTTCCTCAAGCCTAGAATTTCCACCTGAAAGTTGAACATTTCTATATATTTGTCACTATTAGGGCCAAGAAAATCTTGGCCCTAATTGTGACATCTAAAGAACTGAGACTAGTCATTTTTTATTCTTAATGGGGAAATAAAATCAATGAGGAAGAGAAATCCTGAAAGGGGGGTGGTAGTACGGGTAGGTGGAGTGGAGAAAGGAAATGAATAAAAAGAAGTAGAGAGGTAAGGAAGGATGAGGAGGTAGAATTAAATTACAAAAGAAAAATATAAACAAGTTTCATGGACAAAACTCAATAGGCATTTCTCTTCCTGCAAGTATCTTGGTGTGGAGGGGTTGTGGGGATGGGTACCGTTAACTTTTCCCTGTAGTTGTCTTTGGAGAGTGATGAGAATTTTGAATGTTTAAGATTTTTAATGATCCCAAACTTCCCTTTCAAATTAGAAAAAATTCAAATGGTTAGAAAATAAGCTTTAATATATATATTTTTAATGAGAATATGTCTCATTGGCTTCCATCTGGAAAAATTACTTGAAATTGGCAGTGACCCCCTCCCCTTTTTCCTTTTTCTTCTCTTCTTTTTTTTTTTTTTTTTTTAAGTAGCTACTTGGAAAAGTGTTTGGCTGCCTCAAAAACCTCGAGGCAACCCCCGGATGCTCCAAAGTTGAGATCCTTTGCAGACAGGAAATGCCTTTGCCAGCTCCAAGGTCTCCTCCCCACAGCCCTTTCCATTGTCTGCAGAGATTTGTGTACATCAGACAGAGGAGATTTACCCTGCTACAGCGTATCAAAGAGCCACCTTAAAAGAAGGGAGTTAGTGAGGCCTTTCTAGTTTTTCTAGCTAACGCTTGGCACCCACTGGGTGCCAGGTCTGATGCTTCCTCTCAGGTAAGCAGCCCACCTCTCTAGAAGCTGGGCTGAGAATTCACAGTTCCCAAGGCCCACAACCAACAAGAGAGCCATTCTGCAAGCCCTTCTTTTATCCACAATGGCATAGCATAATTCCTGACATTGGTGTCCCCTCAGCTAGATCTGAAGATATCTTGGATCGCAGATATTTTGGTAGGTGGTAAGAATCTCCAAAGTGGTTGTCATTTGGATTTAACAACACCAAAAAAAAAGTATCAAAGGACAGAATTTGATTGGACAAATACAGAATCCAGCTGGAATTTCATGAAATCCAAAGTGATGGAAATGTGGGTACAACATCTGATTATTTTTACAAGAGACCAAACTCCTAACCATTCAGAAGCATCCCGGGTGACTGTTTCGTTCTCCACATTCTGTCCCATGTTGCCAGGAGTCACAAAATTCTCACCTCCAAGCACAGATTTAAAGGATCATTGATTACTGGATTTTAAAGAAAGATCAAAAGGGTGAGCTTCTGAGCTTGAGTTACACAAGGCAGTATAACTAGAATAGGAATTTTAGTAAGGGCAGTCTGTTCCCAACGAAGTGCACTTCCCCCACGTCCAAATACATTTTCTTGAATCCTTGCCCTGCCTCCATTAAGTAAAATGAATATTCACAGCAATGAAACCACAAAAAAAAAGTTGTCAGAAATGTTGAAAGAGAATAGGTACTTTCACTATCAGAGATGGTTTCCTCTTTTCCCACAAGATGTTTTATCAGCTTTCACCCTGAGAAAACCATAAAAAGTAAGAAAAAGAAACCTTATGCAATAGTTCTCTAAATAAAATACTACACAGCAGGCTAGTCATCCCTAAAAGTGATGTTGTTTAAAGAGTCAAAGTACATCATCCAACAAAATCAATATCCTATTAAGTTAGAAAGGGTTCTGAATATCAAAGACCAACGAACTGAATAACTTAAAGTATAAGTACATGACCCAGGGGATTAATCACACACTGTCATGGTGAAATTAGGGCAATTCTTCCAATCATTAACGTTTTGCTTACAAAAATGTGCTTTTCTGTTTGTCTTTCTGCTAAATGATAACCGTTTTCAAGTTGAATCTCCTGATAAAAAGAGTTAAAAACAAGACAGGAGTTGTGCTGTAAAGGTCATACATGCTGCTTCAACATGAAATAGCCAAAAGACAAACAAATGAAAAATGCCTGGATTGTAGGAAGAATTTGTAAATATTCATTGGCGATCTGCAATGGGACATTTTGAAAACAGTTAATGCCAACCCATGCCCTGAGAATACTGTACTTCTCCACTGAACATGCTCTTGATCCTTAAGACTATGTTAAGATTCAGAATATGAGCAATTTGAGGAGGGTCAGGAATAGCTTTAAACTAGAAAACATTCTGGATTCAGGAAACTCTACTTTAAAACAAGATTTCGCCCTTCAACTTTTCTAGTGTCAATCAATACATAAGGCTGTATTTCTCTGCTTGATCATCATGATAGTTATTCTCAAGAATAAACATTAACCAGAGGTTATCTCCAGGAGTGAAACACACACTAACTTGATTTCAGGATTGCTTTAATTCAATATTAGCCCCACAAGCCTCCCATTCTCCAAAACTCTGATGCAGACAGCCCCATTTTCAAGTGAGACTGATGATGACCCTTGAAACCTAGATGTAACCTGTCAGGCAGGGTCTGGGAGTTTGGAGCCTGCAGCCAACGGAGGTTTCCGTTGGGCTCCAACACTGAGTAGAGGCAGAGAATAGGGGAAACCATAAAGATAAAGATCTTGAGCTGAGTTGGGAATTTGGCAGCTGGAGAGGATCACGTAGATCAATGAGACCATCTCCATTCCACAGATGAGAGAACTGAGGCCAACAACTAAAACTCCCAGCCCAAATGATTAAACTTCCAGGCCTATTCACACTTCTCTGTTTAAGCACCTGGTGCTAATTTTCTCAGAAATTTAAATTCACAGGCAATTCCAGGTGCCTTCTTGGAATCTAAGGAGACAGACTGTAACAGCTCCCTAAAAGCAGAAAACCTTTCACTATGACTTCACTGGAGGGCCTAGGTCTGGGGAACCATAGCCCCCATCAGCAATGCAGGGGACAGTGTCATTCCTTCGGGTACCCTCAGTCAGGCAGCTCCACAAACAACTAGAGGCTTCCATGGAGGCCCAGGCTAGAGGAAGAGGTTTCTGGACCTCTCCCCCAACAGGCCTCTCATCACTTTCCTGGAATGTCAGGGACCTGATGGTTCCTGGCTCCGCTAGGCAAGCAGCTGGATGCAATCCCTGGGCCAATCAGAAACATCAGGCTGCCCTTGCACTCACCCCCACATCCCGCCTTACCTGGGGCTTCCATTCTCTCATCTCACAGTACCCCTTCCTCGGCCCTGCCAGGCCCCCATAGCCATCACTCTTGCTCCCACAGGCCTAGATAGGCCCGGTTTGCCTCTTCCTCCCTTACAGTCCTCTCCGCCACCTGCTCCCACACTGAGAGGAGTGACTGGGAGAAGGGAAGCAGGTGAGAAAGGAGGGGGTATGCGGGGCCCCACCTGCTTCCACCGGAGGAGCACCTTAGAACAGTGGTTCTTGGAGCTCGGTCCTCCTACCAGCAGCTTTGCCATCACTTGATCACTTGCTGAAGTGCAAATTCCCGGTGCCATTCTAGACCTACCAAATCAGAAACTCTGGCGACAGGGCTGGCCAAGAGTTTCGAGAAGCTCTGCAGGTGCTTCTGAAGCTGGCTGTAGCTTGAGACTCGCGGTCTCACACCACCTCCCGGCTCTTCCCGGGCAGGCTCCCTCCACCCCCTCCGCGGACACCCCCCCCCCCACCCCCCCCCCGGCCGCCCCGGGCTCCGCCGCCAAGGGATGAGGCCGCCAAGGGATGACGCAGTGTTGACTCACGCCGGTCAAGGACGGCGGCCCGGGCCAGCCTGGGAGCCGGGGCGAATCGATGGGGTTCGGCGGCCTCGCGGCTCCCCGCGCAGCGGGCCTCGGCCCCCGGCTCTTGCAGCCACCTGGCGCGCCGGGGTCTCAGACCTGCCGCACCCCGGGTCCGCGGCGGGGACCTCCCCCGGCCGCGACACGCACACGTCCAGACCCTCGCCTGCCCCCAGCCTCCCTCCTCCGTAAGGGAAAGGCCCGGGTCTACCACCCCGCGCCCCAGCCCCGCGCCGGGACCCGAGTGGCGCTTGTAGGAAAGGTAATGAGAGGTGTGCGTTTGTTTCGTTGGAAGAATGAGAGGTCCCTCGAGGTCAGTCGTCTTGCCGACGGGTTTATTTTATACACAAGTTACAAATTTAAAAAAAAAACAACACCATTTCGGTCATTTTTTTTTACACTGAACAATTATATATACATACACACATTATAAACAGTTTGATATAAAACACAAATATCTACAGTCTACTTACATTTAGTTAACCTACTTCTAGTTCATCCGTGATTAATTTTAGCCACCGACAAGTCAGTTTCTCTGCTTGAATTGGACTGTACTATTCCCTTAACAACTTGGTCGTACAAGGTACTAAGTGATAGTGCAAAACAAGCATTTAAGATTCTTATCAACTATATCTGACAAAAAGAACACACACATCCCCGAGACACGATCTCTGAGATCATATTGGATTTAAGGCAGCAGTGTAAGAATGTAATATGAAAGTAAAAGATGTTTCTTCCTTTTAAAATATTCCAAGGCTGTCTGAAATGTGGCCCCCACCCCTTTCCACGGCATACCTCTGGAATCTGGGGTGCCCTTTTGGTTTTCCAGTAAGTGGGATGTAGATACAGATTAAAAAGTTATTCAAGATCTTATTAAAATCTTTAAAGTTATAACTTAAAAATTTAACGAAAAAAGTTCAAAATTACTTTTTATAAATAGAAAAAAAATTTACTTTTTTAAAAAGGGGGTGAATTCAATCAGTGAAGAGTCCCTTCATCATACAATCTACAATCAGTACATAAGCCATTTAAGTAAAAATTAAAGGTTTCAATGTAAGTTTGCTGCTTAGCCAGTGCACCAAATATTTCAGGTTTCCAGAAAATTGATTCCCTCTCTCATAGCTTTCCAGTATGTCTACAGAGATTTTCTGTAGCAAATGTTACTCCCGAGTCTAGTTTTCTGAACTTTCTGAATGTCAGTGGTCATCATCCAGCATTAAAATAGCCTTTATCGCCCTCAATGTCCACTTCCTGATCAGAATCCTCTGAAATCTCTGATTCAAGGTCTTCCTGGGAGGCAGGGGAGGGTGAACATTGAGAGCTGTCCAAGGCACCTTTATTTTGCTCACTGGACAAGTCTTGCCTCTGGTCACAGGGATTGTCCAAACTTTCTAGTTCTTCTTTTTTATTGCTTTGAGGGTTCTCCTGAATGGAAGGAATGAAGATGGAAATTGGTAGGCTCATGAAATATGGAGACATAAGAGACATATATCAAAATGTGTTTTCATTCTCTATCACCTTTAAGATTTTTAGTTATACCTAGTGCTTTCAACTTTCAAGATTCTTAAAAGTTTAGGGGAGAGGAGAGAATAGATCACTACAGATACACACTATCTTCATTTTTCAAGCTTTTTTTTTTTTTAAAGATTTTATTTATTTATTCATGAGAGACACAGAGAAAGAGGTAGAGACAAAGGCAGAGGGAGAAGCAGGCTCCATGCGGGGAGCCCCATGTGGGACTCGATCCTGGGCCTCCAGGATCACGCACGCCTCGGGCCAAAGGCAGATGCTCAACCACTGAGCCACCCAGGCGTCCCTCTTCAAGCATTTTTAAACCTTGCCAATTAACAGGGTCTTCCAGACATTTAAGAAATATGAATGCTAAATAGTAAATTCAGGGAAGTTTCAAAATGGAATACTTTTTCATCCATTTGCTGGAGTAAATCTATAAACTTACGAATACTCATTATAGTCACAAAATCATGGCAAAGGTAAAAATGCAGAACTGGAAGAATATTGCCAACTGTAAAGGGAGACAATTACAATTTACTTAAAATCCGGGGGAAGTTTCTGGAAAATATATTCCCACGTTACATAGGAACCACTATTTAAAAAATCCCTGGTAAACTGCAGTCAAGCCTTTGAACAAGAACTAAATATATGAGTGAATTTTTAATCCTGTTTGTCTAAAGCAGACGTAAACACTACAAAGAAATACGATATATTGCTAAAGGCTTTTTTAAAGTAAGACTATAGAATAATATATTCACTAGGCTTGTAACTAAGCAACCAAGAGATGCACAAGGTCAGAGATTGAGAGAGAATCTACAAATTTTTAAATGTTAGAATAATGAAATTATGGACAATTTATTTTCTGTCTCAAATTACTCTTTGTGACACCATATTATTTCTAATGAAAAAGTTAGGATCACTAAATTTAAAAATGCTCACTGCTTTCAATCCCCCCCAATACTGTTTCAAAGATATTTTATTCTAAACTGTACATACACTGGCATATGAACAGTTCAACAATTGTTAGAAAACTCTGGAGAAGATATCCAGACTGGAACATCAGGAACATCAAAAACAAATCTTTAGGTTTAAGTCAAAAGAGGTTTTTCAAAAACTGAATTAGCCTTTACTTTTTATCACATACTGCATAATAGTATTTATGCAGTATTTTTCATTGGAAAAAAAGACTGTTAGTAAGTTTAAGCTACTTTCCAAATAAGCTTGTATATTCTCTTACCTGTCTTATATTCATCTTAAGAGCTGGCATTAGATGGGAAATAATTTTAAACTCTTTGATATTTAATTCTTCTTTAAAAAAAAAAAACAGTGCAAACAAGACTTAAAGGTGTTTATTTCCTTATATTTACCCTTGAGCTCTGCCTGGTTTTATTATGGCTGTGTAAATAAAAGAAACAATTTTCTCCCAAAGATAACTGCTTAAGTCATTTACTGTCAATTACTTTATCTTTCCTGCGTTAATTAGATAAACAACATATGGGGTTTATAAAACAATTAGCCCAGAGTTTTACTAGCCAGTGTGTGAAAACCCAAGCATAATTGATATAGGAACTGCATTAGGTGCTTTTAGCATTACTGCCACCTGAGCAACTCATCCTGAATTTCAGCAGGACTATTTGCCCTTTTAATCAAGGTGAAGAGGTTAAATAGTCTCTCAAATGACTTTTGCATACAACCCATAACAGGCCTCGCATTGAGATAACATGATAAAAATATTTATTTCCATAGAAACGGAACCTTGTCGATACCTGTTTTAGTCTTCTCCATTTAGCACGTCGATTCTGAAACCAGGTTTTAACCTACAGGAAAGAGAAAGAAAACTTGCCACAAACCCAAGCGACCTGGGGAGTACCGGAGCTGATCTGGGGCTGTGGAGCTGGCAAGAGCTCCAGGCATTAGGGGGCGACGAGGTACGCCTGAGCCCACGGTGGCTCGCCCCCCCTCCCCAGGTCTCCCGCCCCGAGCTCCCTGCCCCAGGAATCTGCCCCCAACCCGCAGGCGCGCTCACCTGTCTCTCACTGAGCTGCAGCATCTTGGCCAGACGCTTCCTCTCGGGAGGAGAGAGGTACTTTTGGGTCTCAAACTTCTTCTCCAACTCGATGGTCTGGTCGTTGGAGAACCTCACCTGGCCGCCTTTCCTTTTATGCAGAGGCCTCTGCAAGAAAGGGCTCCAGAGCAGGGGTTTGCCTACAGGGCAGCGAGAGCAGAGGTTAGTGACAGCCCTGGAGCCGTCAGGCCCTGGGTGTGACAAAGGGGAGGAGGGAACTAGAGGGACCCTCAGCCGGACTTGTTCACACACACCCATACAAGGACCCAATGCATTCCCTCCAAGGCACATGCATACCCGGAGACAGAAACACCCAAAGGCACACACATCTACATTGCATGTGCACACAGACCACCCTTGTACACTCACAGATGCAAACTGCCATCACACCCACAGATGATTTCAAACGCACAAGTCTTTTGATCCCCAAAAGAACACACACTATAAGTGGAGTTTAAAATACCACGACACTCCTTAACAGGTCTCTCTGGAATTCATACACAACTTTTTGCACCTCTAGGCCCTCTCTCTTGGTGAGCTGCACTTTCCAAACACCCGAGTGTGTGTATGTTGAGGGGGGGACGTGGACTGCTACACTACCCGAGGTGTTCTGGCCAGGTGCCGCCGCGGGGAGCCCACTTGGGAAGCCCTGGAGCCCGGGTTCGTGGAGCTTCCAATCCTGGCTCCAGGGCGCTGCGGCCTCCTCCTCTGATTTCACACCCGGCGGCGGGGGCGGCCAGTTAAAGCTACCCCGTGGGCTATGGCAACATTTCCGTCAATGTGTTTCCTGTTGGTCTATCTCGAAAAGCCCTTTGCTTCCTCCTGCGCGGTCCCAGCAGTAACCCAAGGAAACCCGGGGCGCGCTCTGTGAAAACGTTCGCCCCCGGCGCGGCCCGACTGAGGGTCCGGCTCCCGCCCCAGCAGGCGAACGGAACCACGCCGGACAGGAGCCACCGCACCAAACCCTCGAAACTGGGATCAAAAATACGATTAAAAAAAATACGATAACTTTTTTTTTTAAGGAGTTAAAATATAATCCCCTCCAAATCTTAACGATGAGAAAAGAGGGTGGAGGGCTGAGCTAAAGGCCTCATCATAAACGTGAAGACATTAAAATTTTAATTAAAATGTTACTTTGTCTCTAGGGTCCCCAAAGAAGCTGCCAATAGCAGAGAGTAAATCTAAAACCCTGGCGGCCCAAGACAAGGAGCCCCGTTTCT